ACCTTCTTAGGGGGCCAGGGCCCCTTAGGTTTTCCCTTAAACTTTCTTGATTCACTCCCGCAATCTCTCCAGGTGCCGCCGGCTCGGCCTTACACTTCTGTTTCCGACTGGAGTTACCTCCATCGACCTCTTGGCCGACTGGTTTGATCTTCCCGCTACGGAGTCGATCCTCTTCTTCCCCGTTAGCGTACCGGGTGGCTATCTCCATCATTCGAGTCAGAGTCATATCCCCAGTTCGACCGAATTTCAAGACCAACTCCATGTATTTGACGCCTTCCTTGAAAGCACATACAGCTTGATGCTCTGAAACATTCTCGACGGTGTGATGCAAAGTGGACCATCTCTGGATGAACTCCCTCAAAGTCTCATTCGGGTTCTGCACACAATGCAACAACTCGGGCAATCCTGCTGGTCGCTTGCACGTGCCCTCAAAACTTCTCACGAACACTCGAGATAGCTCTTCCCAACTGTGAATACTGCCCGGAGTCAACTGAGTCAGCCACGCTCGGGCCGACCCTTCCAACATAAGAGGGAGATGCTTCATCGCTATCTCGTCGTTACCGCCTCCAATCTGCACAGCCACTCGGTAATCTTCAAGCCAAGTTTCAGGCTTGGATTCACTGGTGAACTTACTGACCCCGGACGCCAACCCGAAGTTGGGAGGTATCACTGCTGCCCTGATGGCTCTGCTAAAACACTCGGGACTAGAAACATGCACTCGGCTGCCACTTGGACGATCTCTGCCAGGGTCTTCTCTGTGTGCTCTGTTCTGGTCGACCAGGCCTTGAACAAGGATAGACCTGGCGTCGAAGCCCGGTTCCCTTGGGTTGACTGAAATCCTGCGCTCACCACTGTGATGGCGCCTGTCATCGTTCCGCCGAGGCACATACGACGCACACCTTGGAGGAGGCGTGGGTCCCTGACGATGATTGTCACGGTCGAGTGGATGATCATACTGCCCACGCCCTTCACGCCGCGGAGGCAATCTTGGGCTATGAGCCGACTGAACCATGTCCACTGCAACGGATCTGCTGTGAATCCTATTCCGCGACTGAGATACTGCTGTATTCTGCTCTCCTGCTGCCCTGAGCAGGGCCTGGATCTGCATCAACCCTCTGCCAGGTTCTGACTGGGAAGGTTGGATCGACTCTGCTATTCGGGCCGCAACTGTGAGATTCTGAATCGGAGTGCGGTATACCATAGGTGGAGGCGGGAAAAGCTGTCGTCGACTAGACTCATGAATCCGCTCCTGGGCGCGCTCGTCGAGAGCACGCTGAAGGTTATCCAGTCGAGTGCGCTCAGCCAAGTTAGCTAGGCGCACCTCCTCCAAGGCCCGAGCCTCGGGGGTTTCTCCAACGATGGGCGTGTGGAGTGCATCCATGTTGCGGCGACGAAGTTCTTCCCTCTGCTGTGAAGAGAGGGGCTCGGGTCGGTATTCCTCATGGACGTGCGATGGATTGCCGCCCCCATCTCCGCCGCCCTCGCGGCGGAAACAGGGCGGGCTGTGAGGCCATCGACCATCAAGACTTCGGCCGCAGGATCGCTGCTATCGCACTCGGATGCGGTCTCCGCGGAGCCAGTCGACAGATCGAACAGGCCGTGGAGAGTTTCGTCGGGCTCGATTGCCGCGATTTGATGGGTGGTCGAATGCCGAGCCACCGCGTGTTTCACCCAGCGCTGAAGCCGCGATCGACCAGACCGCTTGCAACGGCGAACAGCGGGGAGAGAAAACACCATCGGAGCCGACTGATACTGAGTCGACGGCTGCCGAAGAAGGACGCCGCGAACGCACGCGCGGAAGTGCGTCACCCCTCGGACGGGGAGCGCCTCAGCGTCTAGGGGAGCTTCTTGAAGCCACGCGGAGTCGTCGACGATGAAAACGAGCGCGCCGAGACGGATCTCGTGGCCCTCAACCAATTCGCCACCGGAAACCATGATGATGATGATCAGTAAAACTTGCAACTTCACCAACAAGTCGCTAAGACACCCGCCCCATGGTGGGCGCCAACTGTCGTGGTCCTAAGGCTGACAGTAGAAAGGGTGTAGGTATGGAGAGGCAAGATCTTAGCTATGGCGAAGATGTACACACGAGGTTTACGAGTTCAGGCCCTTCTCGGAGGAAGTAACAGCCCTACGTCTTGGTGCCCGGAGGCGGTCGATTGGATTATGTGTGTAGTATTACAGGGGTGCGAACCCTTGCCCCATAGGAGGAGGGTGGCTTATATAGAGTGCGCCAGGACCCCAGCCAACCTCCATTACAAGGGGCTTAATGTACATAAAGTAAGGGCGTTACTGGTAACGGCAGTCTTAAATACTCTTAATGCTCATGAAGACTAAGGAGTGAATGCCTGGCCGTTGCGTGCTGTTCCGACTCCTAGTCCTCGATATAGTCGAGTGACCTCCCATATGGTCGAGTGACGGTGGGGGATGTGGTCGAGTGATTCGGTCGTCGAGTGGATTCTTGGTCTTTTTATCTTCTGGGGTAGTGACCTTGGGTAGGACGTATAGGTTCGGCCTATGACCCTACCCCAGGTCTGTATCCTCATCACCAACCTCCGCCTCCGCCTGAGAAGAGCTGTCCCGCGCTAGCCCAAGACCCAAGCAAAGAGAAATGAGATCTCCGCCCCCACCCACGCCAGCCGGGCTTTGCCTAGCGGTGGCTCACGACAGCGGCGGGGAAGGAGGGCCTGGAGGGGAGGGGCCTGCGGCAACGCACTAGGGTTCGCCATTGTCGCCCGCGGAGGCGACCTGGGGCTAGTTTCTTTTCGTGACAAACTGGCAGAAAATACATCAGTGATGATTATGACTAGTCATCAGTGACTGGTCAAACGGGAATGACACTGCTAAGGAATAACCAACTAAAAAACAATACACGAATTTGCCCAAATCCCGATGGCCTAAGCTATGCCGACGGCCCCCGTTGGCATATATGGAGGTATCCCGACGGCCTAGGGCAAGCCGTCGACGTAGCAAAGCCATCGACATACCTCAACCTATGCCGATGGGAGCCGTCGGCATAGCTCAACGTCGGTAGTACTGGCTCTATGCCCGCGGTGGCCGTCAGCATAGATGGGCCGTCGGCATATATGTGGGCCCGGATACCCGGTGGGCGACGGGCATTTGACGGCGTCATATCTACGCTGACGACACTAGCAGGGGCCGTCGGCATAGGGAGTGGCCCACGTCATCGATCCGGGGGACGCGACACGCCATCGTCGGTCCATGGAGTGACATAGATATGTCGACAGGGTCCCCATCGGCATAGGCCTGACCCATGTCATCGATCTGCGGGCTCTGCCATGGCATCGATCTGAAGCCCTCATAGAACCGGGAGCATAGCTATGCCAATGGCCTTCCGTCGGCATAGATTTGTGTTATTTTTTCTATTTTTCTATTTTTCTATTTTCTCTTTTTTATAAACTAATTTGATTAACTTAAATGTGCCTCATCTAAACAAAAACATACCTAAATTATATATCGACTGACCCTCCTCCCGGACATCACTGCCGCCGTCTCACAGAGGGGGAAAACGGCCACGTCGGGCCGACAAGCACTATTGCAGGATGCTGCTAACGCGACACTACGATCAAAGACCCTTTGACGAAACTGTGTGCGATGCATTAATCGCAAACGGTGGTGTAAAAAAACCGTCAAAAAAGATGCAAAATATTTGCGATGACGGATGCATCAAACACAGTTCAGATTTTAGTTCTGTGTGTGATGTAGGGCATACGGTTCAGTACAATTAACTGTTTGCGATGAGGAGCAACAAAAGAAACGGGTAGCCAGATGAAGGTGTGTGCGATATACAACATACGGTTCACTAGGATGAACTATTTGTTATTAGGCAACACAAAAGAAATGGTCAGCCAGATCAAGGTGTATGCGATATACGGCATGCGGTTCACTCGGATGAACTGTTTGGGTTGAGATAAGAGAACATAAACGGTTCAATATAATAAGATGTGTGTGATACGTGGCAAACCGGTCTGTAATCAGAAATGTGTGCGAAGACCGATAATAACACAGACGATTGCTGCTAATAAGACATGTGTGTTGTGCGATGGGATTGCATACAGAACAACAACAACAACAACACACACACACACACACACACACTTATAAGGACATGGTTGCATAACCAAATTAAACATCCACTTATATAGGTGGCTACTACAACCATGGTTGTGTGGACGACAAGGTGTGTAATGGCGGGAGGCTCAGGCCTGCTCTTGCAGTACCCAGATCTGGGGTGACAAGTTGGCCATCATTGAGGTGGTGGCTGGGACTCCTCTGGATGGTGTAGGTGAGTGTCCAAGTGAAAGTTTCATACTTCTGGCGCCGGTGACCCGTGGGCGCGCTTGCTTCTTGAAGACGTCGTCGTGGATCTCGTCCTTGTGCCAGGGCTTCAGGTGAAAACCTTTGTCTGTCTTCAGATTCGGCAGCGGCGACTGTTCGCGCCGTCACCCTCCTGGGGGCGTTGTCATGGAGCTCAGGAGTTTTTGGTCGGGCCTTGGCAATGTGTTTGGCTTGTTCTAGGTTCTTGTTGTATCTTTTGATCTGCTTTGTAAAGGGGCCTTCCCACCATATTGTACCTTTCGGTCCTGTACTTTGGTTCGTTGCTTTACTTATAAAGTGGGGCGAAAGTCTATTTCGAGATGTCTCCGACAAAGGATTTGCTAATGAACATCAGTGAGTGACTACATTCTACTGTTTGGCCGATCAATGGGCTAAAGAACCAGATGACGATATTGTTTGAGATGGAGAGCATGACGATCACGCTCGTCAAGATTTTATTGCTAAGCTGATTTACTTTATTGCAAAGTTGAATTTACGTAGAGTGTGCACAAATTCAACCAACAAGTCGTCTCTTCGAAACACACATAAAACATACTCCCTCTGTCCCAAAAATGTCTCAACTTTTAGTAACATTAGTATTAAAGTTGAGACACTTGTTTTGGGACGGAGGGAGTATATGGTAGGTGCTACCATGCCCTTGCTCAGGCAGGAACTTCGTCGGATGAAGGGTACGTCTGAAGAACATAAACCGGGTCGCCGACCTTGACGATCCTCCCTTTTCCCTTTGCTGATACCGATTCCTTGCAGACCAGATATTGCCCAAAGTACACCTGCAAAACAAGATAAAAATGCAAGCAGTAAATGGCTTGTTCTACTGCCAAAAGTAGAATAGGTTGAAAGAGACAATTAACTACCTTGTGTTTATTCTTGTGGCTCGGACAGATCACTTCACCGGACCGGAATGTCAGCATAGTTTCTGTTGGTTCGGTGCCAAGTATTCCATTCTCTTGATTAACGGCTGGTACCTGAATCAGCAAACAGAGAAACTAATCATATGGTATACTCCTATTTATATTGTCCGGTGTGAATGTTTAGTGTAAACATCATATATTACTGAATTATGGTGGTGCAAGGTTTATATGAAACAAACGAACACGCCTCTTGGTACTTTGCATGTCAACCACAGAAACAGTTCTTGAAATTTTACCTTGCAACGGTCGCATAACTTCACCCCGTCAAATGTCAGCTTGTTTATCTTTATGGTTTTCCACATATCCTCCGAGTATGGGTGGCATCCATCAACTAAAATACTGTCAAAGCAAACCATTGTTTGTAAGAACGCAAAAGGTAGGTGAATATTAAGCAACCTGGTATCACAATTTTTAATACATAAGCCCCCGGCAAAAAGGTTATTCGGAAAATACAGTGTGCTGCTTACTTTGGTCTGAAGCGATTGATTGGTACAGGTTCCTTAAGAACCTCATTTAGTGCATCCAGTGAGCCCTACAAATTATTTGAACTGTCAGCTTGAGCTTAGTGTTTAGCAGCAGTGCACATAGCCTTCATAATTCATACATAGGCAAACAGTCTGAGCTGTGAAGTATGAAGGTACTACCTGGGAGGCCATGAGGAAAGGGAAGACATCCGTAAACTTGAGCTTGTAACCTTGAGCATACTCAGGATCAGTCGGCCTGATTTCAGAGTCTGCCAAAAACATAAACAGACATCCTTCATAAGTATCAGAGATGATCTCATCAACAGAACATTTTCTGCACAAATAGACAGGCATCCAAGGCATTTTTGTGTGACTAAGAACACCACAAGGTATGCACCTTCTTTAAACCGCACGAGTCGGCTCAGCTTCCCTAAATAAGCGGAGAGCCATTCGGCTGCTTCAGCTCCTTCATCATAGGCAGAACCAGACCACTCCCACACGGAGACATCATCGAGCGTGGCACGCTCCGCAGCAAGAGGGACCTTCAGCGTGTCCATTCCAGGTGCTCTTATAACTGCAATCAGCAGAGGATCAAATAAAATTTATCTTTAGGAGAGTTCCTCTGAACCATAAAAAGAAAATGATAATGACACAAGGATTTTCCCCTGAAACATAAAAAAGGAAGCGGCATCACAAGTTACAATGTATCAAATCAAAGAGCATAAAAATGCAGGAAACCAATTTTATGAGCAGAAAAACACAATTACTTTTGATCAAATCTACTAGTGTCAGTGTATTGCTTGTTCAAACGACAAGCAGTGTTGTATTCAGCAAATCATGGAGACAGAACATTTTGCAGGAATCTAAGTTAGTCCGAACAAACTGTCTGTTAAAACAAAACAGAGAGATGCTGGCCAAGCTTTCTCTGATGAAGTTCCATTGAGGTGTAACTACACGCCTTAACTCCGAAAATATTTAACTAGGACGAAAAAGGGAGCATATCTTGTGAACAAAAAATACTACTAGTAAAAATACTGACAAAGCATATCATATATACTCCTGCAGTAATAAATCAGCTACTAATACCCAAGCAGGAGTCGGGGGTGGGCTGCCAGTCCTCGTCGAAGGCCGCCGGCGGCAACTCCACCTCAACCAGCGCCATCTTGGGCTCCACCCTCTGCGTGAGCGCCCTGCCCTTGGCGTTCACCACCAGCCACTGCCGATCCCACCTGAACCCTGCAGTGCAGTCCATCAGAGCCATCAGATCAGAGCTGAACACGACGCAGGACAGGGGGACACGAAGAAAATGATTGGTTTCAGTGAAGCTGGGGGACACACAGTACCGGTGGAGGTGACGGGTGCCTGAGGCACGGAGACGCCCCTGCAGGACTTGACGGGGTATATGAGGATGGACGCCACCGTCGCCGCCGGCTCTCCCGACGGTTCCTGGCCGCCGCCGCCGCCGCCGAGGAGGGAGGAGAGGAAGGACGCCGCCTGCTCCATGGATCGATCGCCGCGCAGAAGCACGCGAGGAGGGAGTGAGGAAGAAGAGAGTGCAGTGTGGAGACAGCGAGAAGCGCAGCTCGCGACTTTCTCTCGGCGCCTTATCTCACCGCCTAGCGGCTTGCGCGGCGCGCCATTCGGTCCGTTTTGGCACGCAGCGTCGGCTGTTTTCTTGAAAAATAAACGAACGCCGCTTTCCTTTCTCATCCCCACACGAGCTGAGGCCAGTGGAGTGGAGTGGGTAGCTAGTAGTTTGCCTTTTTGCCTCGGGTGGTAATTGCAGGTCAACGACGCATAGACGATCTCCAAAAATCTACCACTCATGATACATTTAAAAACTATAAGGAAATAAAAATCATATACCATTGTGTTTGGCAAAAAATAAATATTGCTAGGACCTAAAATTTTACAATGGTTAGCACCGAAGAATGAGGTTTAAAGGGACAACATGCTACAACTAGATGGAGGAGGCAACAAGGCCACACGGGTGGGGGAAGGGCGGCGCGACAAGCACGTCGGCTACGGGAGATGGCGGCAAGAGGGCGGGTCGACGAGGTTAGAAGGAGGAAGATGAAGGCGATAACTCGGGGGAGGAAGAAGACGTCATGTGGAATCAATGGACAACATTCTTTTCTAGGCATCTACATAATTCTTTGAGTAAAAGTCATTTACGGTCACTGAAGTCGTTCGTTGCATGCAAAAAAATCAATTAACTCAAAAACTGCAATTTTCGTGTTGAATAAATTGTTCCATGTTCCATATGCACATGAATGGTCATTGGAGGGCAATATTCTATGTATTATGTATTTCTCGACGTCGGGTGGAGCGACGGTTCCCTGCGACGTAACAGTGGGCTACTGTGCTGAAGGAGCTGCACATGCATGTTCTGGTAGATCTACACCCTAGTAGTTGGTTTCATGAGCGTGTGGTGCTAGAAGCTCTAGGCTTCCTTCTGGTTTGGGCCTAGTGGCTGGCAGGGCAGTGACATTCTCGAATCGCCGGTACCCATAGTTGTGTTGGTTGCTCCTAGGAGAGGAGCAACGGAGAGGGTTGGTCCTAGCCTACTCTAGCTGCTTTAGGCGGTGGGGCCGATCCAAGGCCCAATAACTGCCACCGTAGTTGTTCGTGGGTGACCGCCGGGTTGGACTCTCCTTCGCTCAAAATCCGTCGGTTTTGCCATGTAGTTCAGGGTTGGGGTTGCCTTAAGGTGGGGAAGGAGTGTCCTTCCCACTAGTGCCATCGGTGGGTGGCAATGTGGGTGAGGCTTGGGATGTGCGCTTGGGGCCACGGATGCCGGGGCGGCAGCCCCGATAGGTGAGGCTGTGCGGGTGGCTTGTTGGCGAGCAAAGCTGCATCAGTGGTGGCAATTTTTCTTGGATATGAGGGTAGCAAGAGGAGTAGTGGATGGCGATTTCTGGTGTTGTCGTGACTTCGGTGTTGGCTACGCGGCCTTCCCATCGGGTTGAGTTGGTGCCCTTGGTACCTCGGGTGTCACATGGGAGGGTTTGAGTGATTGTTCTGTGCTTACGCCAGTGACGATAATACCTATGGGTGTCACTTACCTCTTGGGGGCATCACTGTGGGCACCCTCTCCGTTTCAGGGTTCTAGGTAAACCCCTTGCCTATAGTTCCGGGCACGGTGGCGGCGACTCTGTCGTTACATTCTTGGGGGCATTTGTCAAGGAGCTCATGTGCCATCTGGTGTTGAAGCATGTAGACGTCTTCAGACTTGCTTTGATCCTGGCGTGAAACTTCTTTAACTTTGGCATGAAGTGGACTCTTTGGTCTCCTATCTTTACACGTGCCCAGATACGTCTCCAACGTATCTATAATTTTTGATTATTTCATACCATTATATTATCAATCTTGGATGCTTTATATGCTATTTTATATCATGTTTTGGAAATAACATATTAACCTAGTGACTAGTGTCGGTTCCTGTATTTTGCTTGCTTTTGGCTTTTCAGAAAATCAGTACAAGCGAAGTCCAAACACGATGAGACTTTACAGTGATTTTTCTAGACTAGAAGGGACCCTAGAAGGTTCGGGAGGAGGCCAGAAGACGTACAGGAGAGCCACAAGCTTACATGGCACGCCCCCTGAGGTCGTGACTCCCACGCAACTTCGTTTTACTTAATTCCACCTCTATAAATTTCCAAATATCCTCAAACCAACAGAGAGCCACCCGGAACACTTTTTCATCCGCCGTAAGCTTCTGTTCTTCCGCAATCCTCTGGAGGCTTTTTTCGATACTCTGCCAGAGGAGGAATCGATCATGGAGGGCTTCTACATCGTCATTACTGCCTTCGATGATGAGTGAGTAGTTCATCATAGACCAACGGGTCCATAGCTAGTAGCTACATGGATTCTTCTCTCACTTTGATCTTTAATACCATGTTCTCCTTGATCTTCTTGGAGTTCTATCCGATGTAATCTTCTTTTGCGGTGTGTTGTTGGGATCTGATGAGTTGTGGGTTTATGATCAGATTATTCATCGAAAGTAATTGAGTTTTTTCTGAACTTTATTATGCATAATTTTTATAGCTATGTATTTGTCTCTGATCTATCCACTTCGTTTGGCCAATAGATTGATTTATCTTCAGTGGGAGAGGTGCTTTGTAATGGGTTCAATCTTGTGGTGCTATATATCCCAGTGACAGTACATGTATTGTTACTATTAAGGGTAAAACGATGGGGTTTATTCATATTGATTGGGTTTACTTTCTCTACATCATGTCATCTTGCTTAAGGCGTTACTTTGTTTGTCATGAACTTAATAACATAGATGCATGCTGGACAACGGTCGATTGGTAGAGTAACAGTAGATGCAGTCAGGAGACGGTCTACTTGTCTCGGGCGTGAGCTTATATACATTGTTGGGGATATAACTACTGAGTATAAACCGCCCAGGTGGGGCCGGTTCACCCTCAACTATATTGAAGCCCATGAAGACCTAGAAGATGGCGCTTTACTGATGATGCTTAGAGGCCCAGAGCCCGAAGGCGTATTAGGGCCCATAATTGTAAACCGCCATATTGTATAACTTGTGTTGTAAGTTAGGGAGGCAGAGACCGAGCTGGACACTGTATGAGCCGGCCTCGGAACTCTGTAAACCGTCCGGGCGTCAACCTGTGTATATACGGGGACGACCCGGTGGCGGTTCAGGGACAAAAGAACAACAACTCGAAAGCCAGGCATAGCGTGTTTGCTCCCTGGTAATCGAAACCCCAATAATTCCATCACAACTAGACGTAGGCTTTTACCTTCATCGTAAGGGGCTGAACTAGTATAAAACTCCTGTGTCCTCTGTCCGGTTTAACCCCTTTAAGCTAACCCGTCGCGATGGCTCCATGACTAAGTCCTTTCACGAGGACATCTAACGTGATATTTCCACGACAGTTGGCGCCCACCGTGGGGCTATTGCACGATGGTTTCGAGTTCTTGAAGGGCAGCTTTGAAGGACTCAAAGGGTACGCGGTTGGCCGGATGACCAAGAGTCGTCGCTGCAAGCTCTACATCGACGACGCATGATGGGGCCCCGAGGCTGGTTCAATTGAGTACGGGTATCGGGTCCCCTTTGGCGGAATTCACGTTTTCATCGGCAAGATCGGCGAACCGGGCCCTAAGCCGGACATCTGCACCGACCTCGTCGAGACGGCTCAGCGTGCAAGCCCCGCTCAGATTCAGCCCGACATGAAGCGTGCGTTCATAGGATGTGTCCACGGGATCGGATCTAAACCGGTGTCCGAAGGTGAGACGGTCGCTTATTCCGGCGGCGGATCATCCACCGGCGAAACCGAGTCCCTGTACCAAGTTCATGACGGTGTGTTCAAAGGGTATTCCGATGGCACAAGTATTTCGGAATTTCTTGAACCGCCCAACCGAGTCGCAATCTTTATGGCCGGTACACAGCCAACCTTGCAAAATTCTGCTGCGGCGGCATCCGGACCAGCAGCTGGGGCAGGAGGCCCCGCGCGCTGGCCGGCTCAAGTTCTGTCTGGTTTGTTGGACGCTTGGACGACATTATTGGCCACAACAGTTACCCCGGAGACTCAAGATCGGCATAACACAGAGGTCACTAAGTTACGGGATCAGATAACGCATGCCAAAGAGGACTTGGCGGCTGAGGAGACCAGGATGGCTGAGGAACGGGCCGCTTTAGATGCCCAGGCGCAGAGGATTCAAGCCGATAATTATCGACTTTTTCTGTATCAAAACGCCTCGAACAAAGTGTTGAGGAGGAGACATCAGTCTTGCTTGCCGGCGGATTATAATGCAATGAACCTCTTCAGTACGCCAGGGGCAGGAACCAACAACCCGGCAGCAGTAAACCGGACTGTCGTGCCAAGGACCGGAGCGTCGATTAACCTCAGATGATGGGTCCACCCCGACGAATAGACAACCTGCCGCGGTATACAACACCCCCACCGGGTCACTTCTCTACCCCTTTGGATAACATGATAGCAGCGGCATCCCGGCTGGCAGCTATTCCGATGGAGGGCGAATCGCCAGCGGTGGTTGAGACACGGCGGGCCAGGGATCTTCTTCAGACGGCCATGGTATAGCAGCAGGCTTACTCATATAGCCGAGACAGGATTCACACGACCCCACTTCCGAGCAAAAGCTATAGCAGGCACATAGATGAACCATAGGTGTCCGGCAGTGCGCGGCGCCGCAATGTCCCTCAAGGACCCAATCCGATGCGTGGTGAAGTGAACGCTCAGGACGTGGTGGATAATGGCAGAGCACGAAGGGAGGCCACTTTAGCAACACAATATGTGGGTCGTTATCAACCCGCCCCGGTTCAGCCAGCAGCACCAGTAGACCGAGGCACCGGGCTTGCTTTCAGTTCCTGGGGAGTGTCGTGTCTCATTCCGGCTCTCTGTAATGTGCGGCTACCCAAGGATTTCAAGGGTCCATGTAAGGTGCCTAATTATACCGCCGATTAGCCACCTGAGGCATGGATTGAAAGTTATGAGATGGCAATGGAGATGCTGGAT